TGTCCTGAGGACACAGGGATTAGGGACCCAAACTGTCCTGAGGACACAGGGATGAGACAGGGACCCAAACTGTCCTGAGGACACAGGGATGACACAGGGACCCAAAGTGTCCTGAGGACACAGGGATGAGACAGGGACCCAAACTGTCCTGGAGGACACAGGGATGACACAGAGACCCAAATGTCCTGAGGACACAGGGATTAGGGACCCAAACTGTCCTGGAGGACACAGGGATGACACAGGGACCCAAACTGCCCTGGAGGACACAGGGATGAGACAGGGACCCAAACTGCCCTGGAGGACACAGGGATGACACAGGGACCCAAACTGCCCTGGAGGACACAGGGATGACACAGGGACCCAAACTGTCCTGAGGACACAGGGATGAGACAGGTACTCAAACCACAACAACTGCAGTCATTGCCCCAGCAGTGAAAAGGAAGAAATGGATAAGGCAAGGGACAGGGCCATAGCAGGGTTTGGCAAGGCAGGAAGAGGAGGAGAGGAAGAAGGAGTAGAAGGAGGGGAGGGGACAGATAAGAAAGCTGGTCCTTCACCAAAGGGAGTCAGACAAATCCAAACCAAGGTTACCCAGTCTCTGACCTCCTCAGAACTCCGGGACTGGCAGAAGGATTCCAGCTGCCAGCCCGGTGAGCAGATTCCTGCCTGGCTGCTTCCATGCTGGGACAACAGGGCTGACAGTCAACTACTGGAAGGTCACAAAGCCCAGCTGGGATCCCTCACCAGAGACAGTCAAATTGAAAGAGGAACTGGAAAGCAGAGAACAATTTACAGTCTTGGAGGTGGCTCCTCCCAAGTGTGAGGGAAAGGGATCCATTCAAGGAAGATCTAAGGAGTTCCCCAAGAAAGTGGGGCCACTGCAGATGAAGGTATCCAGTGCTTGAGAGAATTAGCAGTGCTGGAAATCATCTCCAGTAACTTAAGAAGGGATGACACCCCCAAAGAGCCAGAGGATGTTCCTTGCACGGTGACCATGTGGAGGAAGGCGGTTCAAAGCACCCCTGTGTCATATTCTAACAGTCTGGTACCAGTATATTACCCAAAGATGGATCCAGAAACTGTAGAGTTCATGTCCTCATGGCTTCAAGATGTGGAAGAAACTCTGGGCACCTCCTCACTCCCACGGGCCAGCACCTCATTTCCCAGGGGCAGCCCAAGAGACCGGTCCCCTCCTGCCCCGGGCAGAGGGAAAGGAAGCCCCAAGCTCAGGCCACATGGTGAACCCTGGTTCTTTCTGTGTGACCAGGGGAAGACATGAAGAAGTGGGATGGTGAACCCACCTCTGAGCTGGAAGCCTGAGCATGTGAATTAAGAGGGAAGGGAAGTGTTAAGAAGGGGTCACCCAGGAAAGCTGCCCATGGAGTTGCCACAGAGACCCAAGAAAGAAAACAGCGACCTCTCAGATGTAAGAGGACTGAAAGCAACCCCTCTGATCCTGCTGAGGGGACCTCTGGTCTGGCATGGCAGGGGTCAGACAGTGAATACTCTGAGCAGGAACAGGATTGGAGGCCAGGAGGAGCAAAGGGATGATGGGGTCTGCTGGATTCGATATTCCAGAGCACATGAGCTCAGCTCAGATGTAAGAGCTGAGGCAGGAGCAGGAGGGGGGCATTCACTGTCTCCAGTGTCTCCTGCTGAGGACCCATCTGTGTCCCCAGGCCCTGCTTCCCAGCAGTGCCAACCACAGCTGCTCATGGGAGCAGAGAACAAACCCTGCTCTCTTTGGCTTCTGCGCACGCAAGCTCAGCTTTACTTTTTGCTTTAAATAAACTCCCAACCCATGAGTTGTTTTCCACCTCACTCTCTCCCCTGTCCAGCTGGAGAGGGATAGAGCAGCTGGGTGGGCACCTGGTGCCCAGCCAAGGTCAACCCCCCACTACAGGAAACAGAGGAAAAGCTCCAAGAGAGCCCCAGTTTGGGGCCTGAGGGCCGAGACGAGCCAAAAAAGGGGAACAGGAACCCGGGTCAGAGTCATCCTCGGGGTTTTACAGGAAAGCCCAGCACAGTTTGTGTCTCAGCACACAGTAAAATATCATCCAGCTCAGTAACAGAGGAACAAGGTGGGAGATCAGCATCAGACAAGTCACCCTGAGACAACAGTTGTTTATTCCTGTTGGGCAACAACTGCCCTGGTTCCTCTTCCCTCTTTTGCAGGAGAAACACAAAACCTCTGCACGTACCTCTTCAAAGTGTGAGGGGATTTTCAGAGGTGGCTGAAACGACTGTTTGATTTTCTTGTGGTGTTTCCACAGGAGCAGCAAACCAGCTGTAGCCAGATTTATAAGGATTAACCCCGAGAGACACAGCAGGGTGATGAATCCAGCTCTGGTTGCCTCTGGAAAAGCAGAAAAAAAAAAATCCATGTACCTACAGCAGGTTCATATTTATGGAATCATGGAACGGTTTGGGTTGGGAGGGACCTTAAGGATCATCTTATCCCACCCACCCCCTGCCATGGGCAGGGACACCTTCCACCAGCCCAGGTTGCTCCAAGCCCTGTCCAACCTGGCCTTGGACACTTCCAGGGATCCAGGGGCAGCCACAGCTTCTCTGGGCAACCTGGGCCAGGGCACTGGGAAGCCCTCTAGCACTGGGAAGCCATTCCCTGTGTCCTGTCCCTCCAGCCCTTGTCCCCAGTCCCTCTCCAGCTCTCCTGGAGCCCCTTCAGGCCCTGCAAGGGGCTCTCAGCTCTCCCTGGATCCTTCTCTTCTCCAGGGGAACCCTCCAGCTCTCCCAGCCTGGCTCCAGAGCAGAGGGGCTCCAGCCCTGGGATCAACTTCAGATTCCAGAGGGGGCCAAACTCCATTATCCCATATTCCAGCAGGATTTATGAAGGAAAAGGAAGAGCCCAACACAGACCCTCAGTTACTGACTGATGATTCCTGATTATTTTGCCATCAGTGACAGCTGTGGACTCTGTGGTGCCCTCAGCACTCCCAACAAACTGGGTATGGAAGGGACCAGCTCAGGTGATCCAGGGCTCATGTTCTACCTCATCCCACTCTACACAGAACTACCCCAACCCCACATACCACTGATGGCAGTTCTGTGACACTCTGGGGCACTTTGCTGTCCTAACAGTTCACCATAGACTCCCTGGAATTCGACCTGAAGGCTAAAGCAATAAAGTGTTGATTCCTTTAGTTTTCCAATTTGGAATAGTGTATTCTGTGTCTCTTGTTCCTGTTTAAAAGACAAAAAAAACCCAAACAAACAGGTGTTACTGTAAAACCAGCCTTGTTCCCAACACAAGTATCCCTCCCCCATTTAAGTTTCTCATTCAAAAAACCCAGATTTATTTTTTTATTTTTCCATCACTCAGCTTTCCCACACAAGAGAGGCAGTGAAATATATTCCAGCTTTCCTGGATGTTTTGATGCAGCAGCTCAGGCAAAGGGCAAAATATAGAGGGAGGGCAGGGAAAAATTAAACCCTGAGTGGAGCCTTCCCCATTTCTTTCCTGTCTCTCAAATGAAGGTGTTTGTGTGAGTGTCAGAAAAACACACATTTGGTGCAAGACAGGAAGGAAAGGGAGGTGACTTACTAAGGCCTCTGAAGCGAAAGGGTTTTTTAAATGTTAACATTTTTCTTAAATAAATTAATATTTTTCTACTTCTGTTTTTTAAATATTTGACTTTAGAATTATGTCATTTGGAAGCTGCTGCTTCTTTTTTTTTTAACTTAATACCTCCCCTACAACACTGGCCTGTGCACAACACAATTCCCAAGGCCCCAGGCAGCAGCAGGAGCACAGGACAGGACCAACACCAAGTCTCAGGATGAACAGGGCCAGCTCATCCCAGTTCACCCCAGCATGTTTCCAACAACCTTTTCTGCCCTGGGAACAGGCACATCAGGCCCTGTGCCCTGCTCCTGCAGCTCCCAGCACAGCAAAGGAGGAAGGAGATTCCAGGTTTCCACATTCCCTAAGCAAACCCTGGAATCAAAAGTCACCTTTGACACTGATTCTCAACCTTGATCTGCAATGGGATTTTAGCCTTTGTTCCACATGGAGGAGAGGAAGATGGGTTTTTAAGTTTGGGAATGCAGCAGTACTTGTGTCAAGGCCAAATTAACCGTCCAGGACTCCCCGTGGTGACATTCATGGGCAGAGACAAAATACAGTCGATTTCTTCCTCCAGTTGTTGTTTTGCCAAGAGCCACTGACTCACATCCCAGCCTCCAAGGCACGAGGAACAAAGGAAATAAGAGAGAATTCTCACCTTTTTCGTGGTCCTTGTTGTGTTCTCCCAGTAGAACACACGATACTGGAAACTGTCCCCGGGCTCAGGTGTGAAAGGGGGGGTGACACTGAGGAGCAGTGAGTCAGAGCTGGCACTCACTCTGCTCACCCTGGGGGGGCCCAGAGTGGCTGGAAACAAACACAGAGAGAGCAGTGAACCCCTGGGATGCACAACAGCTCATGGATTGGCTCCAGCTCCACAGAATCACTGGGGCTGGAAAAGCCCTCCCAGCCCATGGATCCCCCCTGGGCCCCATCCCCACCTTGTCCCCCAGCCCAGAGCACTGAGTGCCACGGCCAGGCCTTCCTGGGACACCTCCAGGGCTGGGCACTCCAAACCTCCCTGGGCAGCCCTGGAAATTCCTCCTCCTGTCCAACCTGAGCCTCCCCTGGCACAGCTGGAGGCCGTTCCCTCTCCTCCTGTCCCTTGTTCCCTGGCAGCAGAGCCCGACCCCCCCCGGCTCCCCCCTCCTGTCAGGGGGTTGCAGAGCCAGAAGGTCCCCCCTGAGCCTCCTTTTCTCCAGGCTGAGCCCCCCCAGCTCCCTCAGCCCTTCCTGCTGCTCCAGCCCCTTCCCAGCTCTGTTCCCTTCCCTGTACACTCTCAGCAAACATAATAAATTTCAACAGTTTTTTCTCAAGAAAGGGAAAACATTTCCTCATGTACTTAATATATTTACAATATTTACCTAGCTGGTAATTCAGTAAACATTAACTAGAAAATACCCAAGTTCATCTGCAGTTACTGGCCATTTTTTTTCCTTTGATCAGCCTGCCACAAATTCCATGTTCCCTAAAACCCACAGTGCTCTGAGTCAATAGATTGGAAGAGAAATAACTGCTTTCCCCCTCCTTGCTTTGATGTCTCCATTTGACCTTCAGGATAAACATGATGATTTCCTTTTGTGAAATACTCTTGAGGTCTAAATCATAAAAAATACAAATAAAGTACTGCCTGTGGTACTTATTAACAGCAAAATCACCCCTGGCAAGGTCTAGTGGAAGGTGTCCCTGCCTATGGCAGGGGGTGGCACTGGATGAGCTTTAAGGTCCCTCTCAACCCAAACCAGTCTGGGATTCTATAATTTAAGAAGTGTCCTTGACATTTCTACACTGCAGTCAGGACTATTTATATCTGTCAGGACTATTCATATTTATGAGGACAATTTACATTTATCAGACCACTGGTATTTATCAGGACAGGGATCTGTTCAGCAGAAGCAGGTGGGTTTGCCTCAGACTGCCACAAATCCAAGGGGTTCACGTGGGCAGTGCTCAGGGGGGAAATGAGAAAGTGGAAAACTCCCCAACAAAAGGACGTTGTGGCTCTGGGAAGGCTCAATCACCCCAGGAAACCCATGTTTCCCCCGTGACACCTGCTGAGACAGCCCTGACCCACCACAGCACAACCAGGGAGTGTCAAATCCCGGCGAGACCTCGTTGTCTTTGTGGGCAAACACCTCCAACCCTCTCACCTTGGCTCTGCACAACAGAGCTGAAAACGTGGAACAGTTTTCTCAAAGAAATCTCCTTGGAGAGAGAGAAAGAGAGACAGAGAGACAGAGCCAGTGACAGCAAAGGCAGCACTTACTGTCCCTCTCTGCCACAAAGGGCCCTGCCTGCACCCAGGCTGAGGGGAGCTGCCCCAGCTCAGCCCTCACGCGCAGGAAGATCGTCCAGCGCCGCTTCTGAATCTCCAGGGGGAACCCACACTGGGTCCGGGGGATCCGGGTACAGTTCATCTCATTCCACACAGGAAAGGCCCCTCTGCTTCGCCAGAAAAGCACAAATAAACACAGCAGAACAGTGCAAGCACCCAAACTAATCCCTCCCACCCAGAGGATTCTGGTACGGAGGTAACGCGCTACAAACCCACGGCTTTCACCTGGGCACAACCCCAGGGCCCTCTCAGCACCTCCATCTCCTCAAAGGAAATTAAATTTAAATGGGAAAATTAAAAATTAACCAGAGAGAATCAGACTAAAATTCTGCAGGGAACTGGCCAACATTTCTGGCTGCTCTTCACGTCTCCAATCTTTCCTCAGCTCAGTGGACATATCACAGCCTCTCAGATGCTGCTTTTGGACATACACAAAAGCAGCTGGGATAAAAAACATGCTTTCCTGTCTGTGCTTATTGATATCTACACGTTTCAGGTTTCTAAAACCAATTGTGTTACTGAATTAGGACAAAATGAGCTGCTTTTAGAACTGTTTACTCACGTTTTATAGTGGACTGTGTATAACACCGAGCCTGTCTCCACTGGAACAGGAGACCATCTCAGCAAACTATGGAAGTTATAGGAATAAATCTCCACGTCCTCTGGAGCCGGTAAATGGGGAGAAGGTTCTAAAGTAAGAAGAGGAATAAAAATAATTATTGAAACGTTCAAGCGCACAGTGACCAAATTTTGGTCTCCGAATTCCCTCACCACGTGTCATAATTTCACTGCTGTCATCATGCATCACATCTGCAGTGCTACTACCACAGACCACACTGTCACTGCTTCTCAGGCAAAACCACTTCTCCTCCTCCTCCTCACCTGGTTTCCAGCTGCACTGGCACTGATACAATTCAGGGGGGAGGCCCTGGCCCAGGTTGCCCAGAGAAGCTGTGGCTGCCCCTGGATCCCTGGAAGTGTCCCAGGCCAGGTTGGACGGGGCTTGGAGCAGCCTGGGCTGGTGGAAGGTGTCCCTGCCCATGGCAGGGGTGGCACTGGATGGGCTTTAAGGTCCCTTCCAACTCAAACCAGTCTGGGATTCTCTGTTTCTATGAATTGAACTCCCTGTTTTCACTCATTCCACGCAGAACATAATGCTGAAAGTACCAAAGTACCAAGTCCAGCACAAAACAACAAACCTCACCCAGCCCCACGAAGCCATAAATTAAGGTCCCAGAATCAAGGCTGGCAGAGCCCTCCAAGATCATCCAGTCCCACCCCAGCACCACCACAATCACCCTAATCCACGTTCCCAAGGGCCACATCCAGACACCTCTGGGACACTCCCAGACACAGGGACCCCACCACCTCCCTGGGACACTTATTGCAAGGCCTGACCACTCCTGCAGGGGGAAAGTGTTTCTAATCTCTGATCTGACCCTGCCCTGGTGCAATTTTAGGCCATTTCCTCTCCTCCTTTCCCTCGGGACATGGCAGCAGAGCCCGACCCCCCCTCCCTGCCCCCTCCTGTCAGGGAGTTGGGGAGAGCAATGAGGTCCCCCCTGAGCCTCCTCTTCTCCAGATAAACCCCCCCAGCTCCCTCAGCTGCTCCTCACAGGACACATTTTCTAAACCCTTCCCCAAGGCCCCCCCACCCCTGGTCATTACAGCAGCTCACCTATTTCAGTTACCTGCATCCCACCTCTGACTGTCCTCACATCCCAGAGCACATCTTCCCTGACCATCTGCCCCCTGTTAACTTGGACAGTGACCTCAGTGACACCTTCCAGGGGACAGCTGGAGACAAAACCCCTTCAGCCCCACTCGCAAACCTCGAGTTCTGCCAACTCTGAAACGCATTTCACCACGTGGGAGAGGACAGAGGCCTCTGCTCGAGGTGTGGCTGCTGTTGGGGGGG